TGGATGGTTCATGAGATATAAGCAATTTCTTTCTTTTCCGTAAAATGTCAATAGCTCCTGACCTAAGCGAGATGAAAGTTGTTTCTTTTTACAAAAACGCAGCCACACTCTACTCTATCTACGAAATGAATTTTGTGAGTTGGCTGTTAGGAGTCAGTGAAATATAGCTATTTTACGGAAGAGGTTAGCTTTTTTTTGTTGAAAATTCGACGTTCTTTGCGAAAAGAAATTCACAACTCAGTCTAAAAGCATCATTTTGGCTTCAAATTCGTATCAAAGACTTTACAGTGTCTGTAGATTATCTAGCCAAAGTATGAAGGTTAACTATTGTGTGATTCTGGAAATTCATTAAGGACGAGCACTCACGATTGAAACATACGTAGAAGGGCGGCAGTAATGAACTAAGGGTCGCGCTTCCTATTATAGAATTTGCAATCCATGTACATGGTAATCATGAAAAGATAATGATGAAAGCCTATGGTTCGAAAAAACGTTGGTGAAACTTTTGTAAGAAGGATTACACACTCACCTCTAACCTAGAGAGAAAATTTTCAAATGAAATTGTTTGAATTGAAAACCGAGTTTTAAGTATGCTATTTGACCCAGTTGTGTCTGCTGATCTCAAATATATTATTATGTTTGCTAGAAAATATATGGGAAGTGAGAAAGGTGCACAATAAGTGAAGTAACGAAGGTTTTATGTACTACCCGTATATATACGGGTCCCATCAGCAAAGGGTTAAAATAATTAATGTTTTATTAGGAACAAAGGATTTTATTATTATGAATATGATGTTGATGAATACAATTTTATGTAAATTAATAATATTTTTATTATCATGTTTTACTCAATGAGTTATTGGCTAACAGAATATATTACAACTGAACGTATTTATGTTACATATTATCCAACTGGACAATGGTAAAATCAAAAACCTCAAAGTAAAATCAAGGAAAAAATTGGAAAATTAAAAAACGAAAAGTGTAATTTGAAGTTTAGAAGTAAATTGATAAGCGGAGAAAGTAGGGGTTTACAAAAAACTATAAGTGTTTTAGTAGTTTTACTATATTCGATAAAATTCAGTTATATTTTGCCTGTTGTCACTACTGTTGTTTTTCATTATTGTTACTTTTGTTGATGTGTCTTCTTTTTTTCTGTTGGTTCCAATTTTTTTCCCAATTTTATGGCATACAATTCATCACAATAAAATTTGGATGGTAAAATATAAAGATAGAATCCCAATATTTGTGGTAAATAAGATTGAAAATAAGCAGCTGTTAATGAATATCTTTTAAATGGAGATTTGGCCAATTTTGTACAAGCTAATGTAAATAAAATAATCAATTGTGGTAGTGAGGATAATATGGTAATTATTGGTGGCAGAAAACGATCTTTGTGTTCCTGAAAATTGTTTTCGAAGTCATACTGACATTCGAATGTCATACTTGACATTTGATATCGTTGATCAACAAGATTAGCGCGTTTACGTGCATTTAACATAATTAATGATAACGTTGATATAAAATTCATTAAAAATGGTATTATACAATGAATAAAGGTATTCACTTGGCTGTAGATTGATAAAACACGGGGATATTGTGCAACGCACGAAGTATCTTAAATTAAAAACAGCTCTAAATAAAATTTGAAGAGAACTGAACGTTGTCTTCAAGCTTACCATATTGTATATATTTTGGATCTGGCACAACTTTATGATATGTAACTTCATGTACATGCGATGTTAATAGACAAATACACATTATAATTATAATACGTTTCGCTGTTCGAGGATTTTTTAACCATTGTCCACTTGAATAATATGTAACATAAATACGTTCAATTGTAATATATTCTGTGAGCCAATAACTCATACGAGTAAAACATGATAATAAAAATGTTATTAATTTACATAAAATTGTATTCATCAACATCATATTCATAATAATAAAATCCTTTGTTCCTAATAAAACATTAATTATTTTAAGGAGTAAAAATAATAATGATAATTGACTTGTTATATTATTCAATAATAAATAATAACCTGTTTCAACAAGATGTGGTTTTCGACGGCGGAAAGTTATTTAAAGAAAAGAAATTATTTACAAAGCCAAATAAAAATAGACAAGACAGTATCAATAAGTAAATAGTAAATAGTAATTTTTGAATTATAACCGATTGAGATAAAAATAAATCTGTTGTTAATAATGATTTCAATGTAAATGATAACAGTTGTATATTATGTTCACAAATTGAACCATAATGACATTGGGGACAAAGACATAAAAAAATCAGATTTATCATCTAAATTACCTTTCAAACATTTGCCACCAGCTAGATAATAATTACATTGATAGAATGAAGGATTAAATTGAAAACAATTGGCTCGACCAGAATGAACATCATTATTAGATAAACATAAATAAATATCATGATGGAAACATAATAAAGAATTATTATTATTATTATTAGATGAGTTTAAACACAATGTACGATACTGAAAAACAATTGTGGACGACTTAAATGATATACTGATGATATGAATAGCTTATGTTAGCAGGGATTTTCTAGACTCAGGAGGATCGATAAGAAAGTGTCAGGAGAAATTTTAGTAAGAGTTGACGGTGGATGAGGCGACGGCGGAGCAGAAAGCTTACGGGCAATCCCCCTGAAGCAGATTCCTCGAAACTTGGCGAAGTACAAGGCGATCCTCATGAGGGCGCTAAAGATAGTCCATTGTCCACCTCTGATAAAACTATCATGTTCAGAATCAGCATTAAGAAATATAATTCGTTGGTTCGATGTTAATTCATCTATCGTTATTGCTCGATTAAAATAATTTTGTAAATTTTCAAAATTAATTGAATTTATTGTTGTTGCCGTTGTGTATATCAATTTTTGATCTGTATTTTCTTCTTTTGATGGATGAATTTTTAAAAATAATTTCTTTTTTATTGATGATCGAAAATAGTGAAACATGATGACGATATGGTTTAAGTTCAATCTTATCAGTTGAATCACAATAGTAAGTATTAAAATCAAACAGACATTTTATCTCATCATTATCACATCATAATCTTGTATAACCATTTTTCATAGGACATTGATAAATTTTTGAAAATTGATCACATAAAAATTTGTGTGCACTATTTTTATTACATTTAAAATTAAAACCTAACATTTGTAATGAATTTAGACCTTGAAATGTATTTCATTCAACCAAACCACCATAGCAATCTTCACTATAATCACTAGTTTTTGTTAACGATATACAAGGTTGTGGTAAAATTAATTCTGTAACTGAAAAATTATAACGTATTACAATTGTTGTATTCGGTAGTATACAAGGATATTCAGTTCGAAGATTACATATTGTTCGTATGGTTGTTTATGTTCATAAATAATTTGACATTGTAGTTTCATTGATTCTAAATTCATAATAGCAACATTATGTGAAGATAATTCATTTATTAAAAAACAGCCTTGTTCATCGCTTGCATCACTACAATCCCATATTTTATTACATACAAAATCAATTGGTGTACGTTGAGCAGTTTTACATTGATATTGATTTTTTGAACAAATCCAATTGTTTTTTTACACATTGTAGTCAATTCATCTACACCTATATTCTAAATCCCATATTGTATCACAATATAGATGAAAATTTATGATTTTATTATTATCACAAATTGAATTGTGGTCATTATCCGTATTCTCAATGTCTGCAATAGTAGTAGTCGTTGACAATTTTACAAATGATGATGAGGACTATCCTGAACATGATTGATTAATATACTGACGAATTAAATCACCTTGTGATGCAAATTTATTGCTCATTACATAAAAAATTTGATAAATGAATATTTAATTTTTCTGCACAAGGTTTTTTATATATTCAGAATATTCACCTTTTTTCATGAAACGCTCGATGTTGCACGAAATGCACTTCAACTTTAGTAACCAACGTTTTTCATAACTCGATTTTTCGGCACAAGAATCTCATCTTTTTCCACAAAAAATCCGATATTTCTCCAGAACAATCTCACCTTTTCTCGGAAAACAGTCGATGTTTCTCCACAAGAAATTCATATTTCATCCTGCAAAACTCGAATTTACCAAATCCATCCGATTACTATGCTCAGTTGAATAAATCTCTTAAACTTTAATTATATTCATGTGAAAATATGATCAAACAACAAAATCTTTTCACTATAAGATACAATAAAAATAGAAAAGACAAACATTATAATATAGGGGATTATGTTTTAAGAAGGATCCGAGGAAATCGTTTGAAATTAGATCTACGATTTCACCCTACTTCAATGATTATAATCAAAGAAAAACGCCCAACGTATTTTGGAAAAGATCCAGAATCAAATGAAACATCACAAATTCACGTAAATGACCTTCGTCCCATTTTGGAGATCAATTTAACAACTTAACATTCATTCAAATATTTTTCATTATTAACAAAATCTTCCTCAGTCATTCTATTCATTTGGTTATGAACGTGTTTTTAAACTCTAAATTAATTTACGGACGAGTGAAACGCTTTGGATTTGAAAACACAGTTTGAATTTGTTTATAGGAGTACTACTATGTTCAAATTTATATTACAGACTTATGAGTATCGAGCGATTGAAAGACATCATTTTGCGCTTAAATATCATGGAAATAATGCAGGCTCTGGCTATTCTTTAGCGAGATCCGGATAATAAGAAAGGATTCAGCTCTTTTAAAGCAAGATCTGCACATTTACTCTATGCTTTTATTTTAAATTATTATTCTTTTTTTTTATTTATTTTCAAACATAGGATATGCCGTGCAACCGTATATCACAACCACAATCGTTCCATGATCGTCCTCCACCAAAACATTTAAATGCAAAACAAGCAGGAAATTAGAGAAGAGCAAATAATAAATCTCGTTATAATGAAGAATTCAGAAATTCCAAGGATCCACTTAACCGTCAACCCTGGTCATTTGATATTATATTTCTCAATTATACAACTACAGTAGACGACAAAAGTATTTCGCCACTTTCCAAATTTAATTTTTATTTGAACAAAATAAAGTTACAATAGTCTTTTTGTCGTTCTTACCAGAAATCTTGTAAATTACAAGATTTCTGGTAAGAACGACAAAAAGAAGTGTCGTCAGATGAATGGTATTCGTTTTCAGTCTGCGCTTAGGAGTCGTGTAACTCAATGGAAAGATAAAGAAAAATTATTGTTGTTATTATTTGCTAGTGCATTGCAACGCCCAAGAGACCGTCACTCAAGTAAAGAAAAATATAGGCTACATATACCGAGCCATATGTTACTAAAATTGAAAGAATTAAGAAGAGTAATTACCGGAAGAAAAACTTAGTTTAGGTCATGAAGAATTAAGAATGATGCTTAGAGTGATGAATAGAGAAATAAAAAATCAAATAGCGAGATATAAGTCATGCCAACAGGCAAGTTAATTTTTCATTGAATGAAAATTAACCAAGTTTCTTCCATAATGGCGAATAAATTGGCTCAGTAAGAGAAGGTGTGGTGGCTGTATCACTTGGAGTCCAAGATTCACAGTCATCATCAACACGTTTATGCTTTAATATATGCAAAAACGAAATCAAAGAAAAAACAAATGATCTTTTCCTTTTAACTGTTGTTTGACAGCCGAAAAAACTCATTTGCAAGTCAGTTCGAGCTATCTCTGCAAGTAGAACGTGTGTGTTCTATCTGGGAAAAACTCACACTCACATTTCTTTCCTGTTGGTATTGTTGTTTTTCTTCCTTCTGA